ATCGCAGTCCAGTGCTTATCCTACAGTGCCACACCAGGAGTCCTCCCTCTAGTATTATTGTTGTTAAGTGCCGTCGAGTCGATTCTGGCCCATAGCAACCTTGCATAGGGATTACAAGGAACAGCTGGTGAACTTGAACCACCAACCTTGCAGTTCAAACGACTTTGCAGTCCAGCATATTAACCCCACAGCACCACACCATAGTATCGCATTTATTAAGTGAGAAGCCAGAAGGAGCTGAGCTGCTGAGGTAAAGGCTCTGGGGAGAAGGGGAGTGGCATTGGTCAGGATAATTCCTTGTCTGCCACACTTCAGACTACTCTGGGCCCCTCAGAGGTTGGTTGGGGTCTTTGTTTCAGAAACCCCGCTCCTTCTCAATGCCAGAAGGAGCTCGTGGACATGAGATTTTACCAAGAAAAAGATGAGTTGAGAAGAACTAAGGCCACATTACAGAATGAACAATATACCCTTACGAAGAGTTACTTCAAGCATAGAGGCGGCCACTTGTGTGTGGTTCACATATGAATTGCCAAAAATTGTCATAGTAATTTTTCTTTTGTTCACTCATTAATTTAGTCAGTATTTAATGAGGTCTATTCATGAGATAACAACTGAAGAGCCATAGAGAATAAGGTTTTATTTTTCCCTTTAAAGAAGCCCACAGTAAATGTGTTGTGGTTGGGTGCAAGGTTGACGGTTCAAATTCACCAGCCACTCCTCAGAAACCCTGTACAGGGTCGCTATGGGTCGGAACCGACTCGACGGCACTTAACAACAACAAGTGTCCTAGGAGAAGATGAGGTAGTAGAGATAAAAGGGGCTCTGGGAAACTGGAAATCAGGACATCCCTTCAAAGTGTTTTAACACATTATCTGGTATTGTACCCAGTGTCCTCTGTCTCTAGCTCAGCCAATGCAAATTACTGGTAGCTTTATGGAGTCCTGGTGTGGAGCTGTGGGATAAAGCACTGGACTGCAAGGTTGGTTTGAACCCTGAGGTCGGCTGTTCAAACTCACCAGGTGCTCCTTGGAAACCTTATACAGGGTAGCTATGATTTGGAACCCACTTGACGGCACTTAACAACAACATATATCTCTGTATGTGAACCACAGTTTTGGGTGTTCCAGTTGTAACACCACATTACATACCTGTTTTGGATGCATCTTTCTAACCACACTAGTATGAGATTCTCTTAAGATGAAACAATAAATTAATTATCTTTAACCTTGGTTTTGTTGTTGTTATTATGTGCTGTGGAGTCGGTTCC